CATCCATCCATCCATCCATCCATCCATCCATCCATCCATCCATCCATCCATCCATCCATCCATCCATCCATCCATCCATCCATCCATCAAGTCAAAAACTTTCTGGAACAATCGTTCCGTCTGTGTCCAGCAGTTCTTAGATGTTTTCCTTCTCCAACTCTTCCTCTAATGTCTGACCCGTTAAGGAATTGTTAATTGGTTTAGGTCTGTTGGAGAAGAGACTCTCCTAAAAGTTCTGGCCCGGCAGCTCTGAGGACCGAACCCAGAACCGTCTGTGAAGTTATGGATCAGTTTCAGTGTTTGGATAGAACTAAACCATAATAAGTCAGGAGGTTGTAAATTCTGATATCTTTGTATTCCTGATTTGACTCGTTTCTTGGTTCTGTTCTTCTTCTCCAGGTGCATCAGCACCAGGATCGAGGCGAGACATTTCAGTGTGAACTCTGTCCCTTTACCTCCTCCCGACACTTCAGCCTAAAGCTTCACATGCGCTGCCACCAGCACTTCCCTCGCACCGACGTCAAGGTTAAAGAGGAGCCCACCACCGACACAGAGGGCGAGGGTTCCCTGCTCGGAGACGGCGGCACCACGGATCTGAGAGCGGCAGAGGCGTCTCCGTTGCTTGCAGAACATCAGCAGCAAACCTCTCCCTCCTGCGAAGCGTCTTCTAATCATGTCCATATAAAGGAGGAGCCTCAGGAGCGGGACCTGTCTGTGCTGTCCCCCTTCAGCATCAGCAGGGACCGCCCCGCCAGCAGCACCAACTCCCTGGACCTGCCTGGAGTCGGAGTCGGGATGAGGTCTAGTCCGAGTGGTCCGACCACAGCCTCGCTCTTCAGCCCCGACATCACTACCAAAACGGCAACTGACCTGCTGATGAAGCTGTCAGGTGAGCTTCAGCTTCTCCTCCGGTGTCAATGATTGATCTGCTTATTGCCAGTTAAACAATCTAGAAGTGCATATTTAAACAAAGTTACAAAGAATGACGGTACAACTATAAGTGAAAACTGGTTTTATCTGGTTCTGAAAAGATCTCTACCAGCTGGATAAAACGCAGTCCATCTGTTTCCAATCCTGGAAGTGTTTGTAGCCACGCCTCCTGCTGCCATGGGATGGAAAAGCAGCGGCTTCTTGTTGCCTATTGGTTCCTCTGGTAAATGAATCATCATCAGTTTGACCTTGATACGCCAGAGATCCACTGGATGTGGAAGCTGGAATAAATGTAGTTCTGTCTGTAATTAGGCGTCACAACAATAATGTTTTTTTTTTTTGCTTATAGTATTGGTCTTATACAATGATTGTCTCCCATTCACCTCCTGGTTTGTTGTAAAGCTCCCCAGTCACTTTGGTTGAACCCCCAGTAATGGGAGGCTCGTTGTATGGGCATTATTATCCGTATCAGCACTGATTTTCACGTCAGTGCATCACTGTGTCTGTATGCAGTTATTTGTTCTTGCTTTATTTTAAAGGCAAGGAAAGTTTATTTGTGTATTACAATTCAGTATAGAGACAATTGTTTGAAGTTCTTTAAATGAGTTAAACTATAAAATAGAAGAAAATAGAAGCAAGTTAAGATAAAAAAAAAAACAATTTTAACTTTTTAACTTCAAATAACTCAGGTTTTCAGAACTTTTCCAGTCTTCTGGGAGTTTGTTCCAAATCAGTGGAGCATATAAACTATATTCTGCTTCTCTGTGTTTTGTTCTAGTTCTGGATGTCAAGACTAGACTGGAACTAGAAGACCTTAGTGGTCTGGGAGGTTGATACACTGACAACAAATCTGTTATTTATTGAGGTGCTGATCCATTCAGTGATTTATAGACTAACAGAAGGATTTAAAAGTCTATTCTCTGAGCTACAGGGAGCCAGTGGAAGGACTTCAGAAACAGGCTGATGTGTTCTACTTTCTTAGTTCTAGTGAGAACACGGGCAGCAGCGTTTTGGATCAGTTTCAGCTGTCTGATAGACTTTTTAAGCAAACCTATGAAGATAAAAATAATTGCATCAATGAGTTTTTCTAGATCCTGCTTGGACATTAGTCCTTATTCCAGGGAAATGTTCTTCAGTTGATAAAAAGCTGTCTTAGTAACTGCCTTTATGCGCCTCTGAAGGTTGTGGTCTGAGTTCATCATAACACCAAGATTTCAGCCATAGTCATAGCCATCAGTGGTTTCTAGCTGTAGTAGCTGAAGCTGTGAGCTAACCCTGGATCTCTTCTCCTCTTGTCCAAAGATTATTAGCTGAGTTTGGTTTTTATTCAGTTGGAGAACATGATGGCGCATCCACATATTGATCTGTTGTAAGCATCTAGGCAATGCTCTCATGGGTTCATAGTCACCTGGTGACTCTGTGATGTAAAGCTGTATGTCGTCTGCATAGCTATGGTAACTGATCTTGAGCTTAAGGGAGCATGTAGATGTTGGGCCCCAGAATGGAGCCTTGAGGAAACCCGTATGTGATTTTTCTGGTCTCTGATTTAAAGTTCCCTACTGACACATAGAAGTAGGATTTAAACCAGTCTAGAGCTGTACCAGAAAGGCACACCCACTTTTCTAGTACAGAATCAAACACGGGAATGAGGTCCAGTAATACTTGCACTTTACTTTAAAGCTAACTTCAACTAAGATGTTTTGATGTTTTATGTGAAACCTGCTGTCAATAGATGGGGCTACAGTGGGGGTAGGGGGGCTGTTCACATTGTTTTAATAGACCTCTGGTTGTTTCATGTCTGCTCTCATCATGCTTTTAGAATATTTTCGGTCATAATCGCTCAATAAATAAAGACTTTTCTCTTGCTTTAGCTGTGAAATACTTCCTGACATCCAGCTGATTAGGATCCCACTTCAAGGTGCTCAAATGCTCTTTTCTTTTTCTGCTTAGCAAATATTTCAAAAAGCTTCTAAGATCAGAGTGTCAACTTGACAAAGATCTGCAAATTCTCCAGCTGCTTCAGTTAAATCAGAGCATCGAACTACAGCAACAGCAGAACGGATGAGTTGAGTGGTCAGCATCCAGTCTGTCCACTAGGACGGCCGCAGGGCCTCCTGGCTCAGTCTGCGGTCAAATCTGTGGCTCTGGATGTCACAGATATTCTGTTTCCAGTGGGTAAAGTCAACATCTCCATCCACCCCACAACCAGCATTGATTAGTGGTCAATATGAAGGGAACAGAATTATCAGAAACATGCAGCCAGAACACATGAACTGATTTATGTGGATTATTTTAATCAGACCTGCTCTGCTCTGTTCCTCTGCATCCAGGCCAGCTTGACCTGTTATTCAGTGTAGTCCTGTTTCTCTGACTGTGACCATCTGGATGTGCTCTCTTTCATCCTCTGACATGGGAGCTGGTTCAGAGCTCCTCTGCCAGGCTGTGTGCTTTTTACAGTTGCCTTTTTTTATCTCTGCTTCTTTCTGTATCTCTGCTTCTGTCTCCTTGAACCCCAGTCGTCTTTAAAAGATGGCTGCTCACGCTGAGCCTGGTTCTCCTAAAAGTTTCTTCCTGTTAAAAGGGAGTTTTTTCTCTCCACTGTCGCTACAAGCATGCTTGGTGTGAAGGGTTGCTTTCAAGTCAGTAGGTCAAAACAAACGGCTGGTTCTCCTTAGATTAAAAATTTTAAACCAATCTGACTTTATGATGTGGTTGAATTGTCTCTGTAAAGTGCACTGAGATGACATGGGTTATGAATTGGCACCATATAAATAGACTGAATTGAAGTGAATCCATCCTTCTTTTTTTAAATTGTTTTATTTTAACTGCTGCTAAAACTGATCTGAAATAATTCAAAATGTTAAAATCACATTAGTTCTTAAGTTAAGCAGGTAAATAGATTTTTTTTTTTAAATCAAACCATGATTTCCGCCATTATAAAATGAGTTTTATTCCTATTCGAACAAAACTCATCTTAATTTTTCAGCAAATTCTCAATTTTTTATGCTCAAAATAAGGAAATTAAAAGTATTTCAAGAAATTGATTTACTCAGATTAACTTTAAGCAGCGAGTTTTTAGTTTTTTCCTGGATGGTTTTAAAAGCCTCATCATGGATGCAGCTGGTAACAGACGGTGTTTGTTGTCCTTCTGTAAAGTTGCAGCATTTAGAAAAGTTTGTCAGGTGAAGAAGGGCCCCGTTGTTTTTGGATGCTTCTTACCGTGTTGCTAAACATGAAAGGACGAGTCGGAGATGGCAGTGAGATTGATGGAAAAAGGTCGAGCGAGGTGGAGCGCCAGGGGTCAGGCTAAGACTGCCACTCTCCCGCTTAATGCCGTGTAATTAAATTGAGATCTTCAGCAAGTATGTGAAGAAAGAAAAAACTGGGAACATTAGATTAATTAAAAATTTATGCATAATTCATAATTAAAAAGGAATTCATAATTTGAAATGATTAGCGCCCTGAGCGTCGTCCTGTGACCCCTGCAGGAATGCACGGGGACTCGGGCGGCTTCGTTAGCCCCCCCTGATCTGGCACGCCCTGGCTCCACACAGGTGGCCCCTGGGGGCCAGGCGCACTGCACTGCCAGACTGCACAATCAAGTTTATCAGCTCCCAGAGGAGCCGATGGGGCTCCTCAGTGTCAGATAGCGGCCATCTTGGTCAGGTCACTTCAGGGAGGATTAAAACAGAAAACATGGTTTCTGGTTAATTAGTGTTGAATAAACCCAGAGTTTAGAGCAGTTTGTTGGAGTAGCAGGAACTTCCTCCTGGGACCTCTGGACTCCATTTCCTCCGTCCTCCCTGCCAGCCCAGATTTAGTGCGACACCAGCGCCTCATCGCTGCTGCTTCACACTCAGAGCATCACTCCCACCGAGTGGGGAACAAAGTGACAGAGTAAGACGTAGCAAGAGTGGGTTTCACAGTCCCCCCTCCCCCCACGGCATCAGAAAAGCCCTGAACTCTTCTTGACCTCTGACATAATAAGCATGTCAGTTTTTTGGGCTGTTTGATTTTCCTGAAGCTTCCACCGGTGTCGGCTGTCCAGTCTGATCCACATTCTGATTCCCAGATGAAAGCCGTAGAGGCACTTTGAAATGCACAGGCCCTCTCCTGAGCCCAGTGGACTCATAGTTAATAACGACCCCCCCCCACACCGTGCAACAGAGGCAGGACAGGCTTGACCCTGGCTGGGTGTGAATAATTGGCATGCAGGGGGCTGCGGGAGGTGCTGCATCTGTCATGATGCTTCTGCAGTTGTCTTATTTATCCTCGTGTTGGGAGCAAGTCCTCTGCTGCTCCTACGGTCGCGATTCTTTCCTTTAATCGTTCACCTACAGGCCAACGCAAAAGTATTCACACCCCAGGACCGTTTGTTTGTTCACTTTCCAACCACAGACATGATCGTGTTTTATTGAGACACTGAGGAGGGTTTATTTTGGAAGTGATTGGAAAAGGAAGTGCAGCCTGGATGTTATACTTTTACTGATTAATAATCTGGAAATATTTTCATGATAAGTTTATGCATTAAGGGCAATAAAAGACAAACTGACCGGCAGTGATGGAGTCAAGTCAGTTCTTCTGAGACCTAGACCAATATAGGTAATTTTTTAGCACAATATTAATCAAGACTGGAGCAACAAAAAAAGAAGAAGTTAATGAAAATAAAAGCAGCGGGAAAAAATGCTCCCAAAGATTGTAGTAAGTTCTTCTAACCACCAGGAACTGGACTGGCCGGTGATTCTATCAGTACCGCATCTTTTTGTCATTTCAGCAGCTTGTGAGCAGCGTTTATTTGGAAAGGCCTTAAAATTTCAGTGTTTGGCCTCAGGAGGCAGAAATTAAGGATGTGAGCAACATGGAGGATGGATGCCGTGGCTTTTCTGGTAGTACAGGAACAAATGTCAGAAGGAACTACATGGGGGACGGAGGGATGGACCGGAACCCTGCCCTTCATGGCTAATGGTAACCTGCACTTCTTCTTGCTTTCTTGCAGTGGTGTTATCTTTAGTCAGAATAGATCCCTGCTTTAACATAGTGTCAGACTGTTTACCTTAGTTTTAATGAAGTGGACGCTGACGCTTTGCTGTTTTAGTCTAACAGATCTTTAAACAGATGGTTCTGGTTCTGGTTGCTCTCAGATAGCTGATAGATCTTGGCTCGATGAAGGTCATTAACTCATAAAACCTTCTCCATCTAGCGTACTAACTGCTAGCATGTCATTTTCCTATCCTGTTCCAAACAATTAGCGTATGCCCTCCACTTTTCTATCATCCTCTCCCTCTGATCTCATTAGATAAGTTCTGCTGCTCCTCCATGCAGCGCGGCTAAGTGGGCCTATTTAGGGGAGAAATGAAGGAGTTTATCTAGACTTAAGATTTACTAACAGAACCACAGAAAGTTCATTCTGGATCCTTGGAGCCATTAAACTGTGGAAATGATCTTGACCAGACTCTGGTTCCATTCATGGTTCTGTTTTATAGTGATGTCGTCACCTGATCAGTACCAGAACCTCACATGAGCAAGCAGATATTTATCCAGGTCGCCATAAACAATATAATTACGGTACCTCTACCATAAATGATCAGATAATGCTAAACAACATCTTATGAAGAATATTTAACATCTTTTCTTAAAGAAAAAGATCGATTTTATATTTTCTATTTTAAATCTGTTAAAACACCACGTTTATCTGCATTTTAGCTGTCTTTCTTTAGATTATGCTGTACATACTATGAAAGCGCAACAAAATGCAAACATAAAACTCTCTACATTTATTTATAAATGCAAAGTAGAAAATAATAGCTTCCGGAGGAGTAGAATCCAGTTTCTGGGACAAATCAGGCACAGAAAAAGATTAAAACAGCCTATTTTACAATCGATAGAGAAGCTGATGTATTTCTGGTTGCACAGGTCAGGTAGTGACACGTGGCTCTTCCTGGCTTTACTTACTCTTGCAAATAGCAGTGAGGCTCTGCCTAAGAGTGAACAACAGGGCCTTTACTTGGTTATCAGTCAATCTGATGGAACAAATTTTAATTTAATAAACCATTTATTGACAGCGAAGTTGATCATTTGTTTATATCCCTTTCCGTTGATAACTATGTTCTTATAGGCATAACTTTATTCTCATGGTATGAGCAGCGCTGCACGTTCAGGAGCGGAAATGCTGCAGAAGCTTTTGAGGAGAAGCTGTCTGTTTTCTTTGTAGAAAAAGATCAAATTGAGCTTGTTTCTCCAGCCGAGGTTTTCTGTGTGCGACCTCTGCTCCAAACATCCCCTCTGCAGCCATCAGTATCACTGTCCAGTGTCTAGCACGATGTCAGCTGCTGCTGGGTTCTCAACCCGCCCCACGCAGCACTGCGCTTTCCTTCCTCCTCGCTCTGGGAAAAAAAAACAACAGTCGATTGTTAGAGGGGGAGCAGGCCAGCGTGACAGAGGTGGAAAGCTAATGAAGTTATTTGACGGCAGCCCTGACCACAGAGCGAGAGGTGAGGTGCAGCGGACAAGCGCCTGGCAGTGAGACGGATGAGGCGAGAGAGGGAGAGAGAAAGGAGGCAGGGAGCGCTGGTGGCAGGTGTCAGAAGGGTGCGATAACTTGGAGACACACTGATAGCATCGTCCATCCTGAGCTGCAGCTTCCTGCACACAGAGCTGTCATGGGCCTCAGTTAGCACACAACCAAAGCTTAGTCACCCAGATATGTCTGTCTAGTCGCTCCACCAACTGATCCGCTGGGGGAGTGGACAGCCATGATGCGCTACAAACTCTGCAAGACAAAAGACCAAAGTGTGAGCCTGGTGTCGCTGTCAGACCCGCGCTGCAGTATGGCTGCTTGTTAGCCCTCTGCTGCCTTTTTGTTCTGCCAGCATGTAGGAATAGAGACAGTCATTCTGCTAAGTGATGCATCAGTCTCTGGAATGTAGATTCCCTATTTATAGTCCATAAAGGTCAGGGTCTGGTGCCGCTTTCCTGGAGCTCCTACTGTTCTTCGTCACTCTGCCACAGATCACTCATTACGTCACAGCAACGAGATTCCTGCGGAAAACCGGGGTCTGGTTCTGTGTCTGCTCGGTTAAAAGTGCGCTGTCCGCTTCTGATCCGACAAGGCCTCAGCACACCTCTAATTAGAGGACGTCCTTCCAGGTGCTGACCAGGTTATAACCGGCCTGCCCGCTGATGCCCGGGAGCCTGACATTTCCAGCTGGCGCTCCACCGCCCCCGGACTTCAAGGTGATCCCCACCACCATCAGCCTGAACCTGCCCTGACGTGGCCCTCTGGCGTCACACGGGTCGCTGGTTCAAACGCCTGCACCTGTCCCCCTTCTCTGCCCCGGAGCCTACGGGACGGATTGTCATTAATCAGAGGGACCGGAGGCGGCTCAGATTGATGGCACAGGGCCGATGTTCGCCGTGATGGGAGGGTGAAGACCAGAGCAGATCTCTGCTGAGGTCAGAGGAGCGTGAACAGCAGAGACGGATGGAGCGACCTTCCTGACAGAGAAGACTGAGACAGACAAACTGATTTCATGATTTATTGAACTCGACCGATGGACGCAAATGAACGTTGGACATAAATCAAATGTGCCTCAGCTCAAACAACAACAGGAGGAGTTTACATTTCTACACATAGAAAGTTTTTAGTGCCAGTTGTTGAAGCTGATGTTGCTTCTCTTCCTCTGCTCTCTTGATAAAGTGATAAAATAACACATGTTTTAGCAGCCTCAGTTCTAGTATAGAGTAAATGTGTTCCTCTCTAACCCCAGCTTCCCCATCAGGACTTAGATGAAGATGTTCTTCACTCTCAGATCATCCTGATGCAACAGGTTTCAGTCCTGATCCCTTCATGAACCAGGAAACCAAATGATTGGGGGGGGAGGGTGTCATGGCTCTGCCTCCAGGTCCTCAGGCTGACATGTTTCATTCATATGTTCCTTCCTTCCTTCCTTCCTTCCTTCCTTCCTTCCTTCCTTCCTTCCTTCCTTCCTTCCTTCCTTCCTTTAGCTGTGCTCTGAACTAAATCGAAGATTCTGGTTGGTCAGATGTCAGATGGTGTTAGGGTTAGTGGAATCAGTCCTGCTTCTTCTTTTATTTATTTTTTTCTGTTTTGACCTCGTGGTGGAGCTTCACCAATCAGAGGACAGCCTTACGGACACAGAGACAGCAGCTCTGCCGGCTGTTCTTTGCTCCATGTCCCGTTATTAATTATTCATCTGAGGCCGATTAGATGTGGCCCAGTTTCTCCTGGAGACGCCTTCAGACCCCAGCCATCCATGTGACAGTTTTGTCCCTAACCAGGCAGCGCTGCTGTAGAACCCAGCTAACTTCCTGCCTGGATCTAAGGCGGTAAACAGCAAATCAGTTGTTGTTCTTCACCTTCAGCCTCTTCCTTGATGTTCATCTTTTGTTCATGTTCGTGTTTGGTTCTCAAACCTTTTTTCGGTCTGACTAGATCCTCTTTTAATCTGGGCTCATTTCTTCCCGCCTGCAGCAGCCAACCAGAGGGAATCATTAAAGTCTCCGTTCCACCTGAAGGAGGAGCCGAAGGTGGAGGAGGCTCCGAGCCCGAGGCCGTCCTCACAGAGCCAGGGTCAGGGTAAGCCGAGCTTCCCCGGGTCCTTCTGCCAGGAGCCGAGGGAAGGAAGCCCTATGGCTAAGAACAGCCTGCTGAGCCAGGACATCAACGTGAAGGTGGCGTCCGAGCTGCTGATCAAGCTGTCAGGTAGGCCCACCTCCTCAGGAACCAGATGCAAACAATTCCTCTGATAAACTCCAGCTGCACACTTTTACTCTGAAATGATGCATTTTATCAAGTTTGTCCTTAAGCTCAGTGATGCTCTGATTAAAGTTGCTTCCCCGAACATTAACTTTGCCTCTTCTAGGCGTAGTAGATCTATATTATTTGTATTTTATGCTCTGAGGTCCCAGACTAGGTAGATGCTGGATCCTGAGCTTGGAACTGAAAATTCAACCCTGACTTGAAAGCAGAGCCTCAGTTTATTCTCCCGGGCGGGATGCGTGTCCCGCTGCTGTGGTTCGTTTTCACTGTTGGTGCTCGCCGTCACTGCCAGATTTAGCTGAAGAAGGTGCTCGCTCTGCCAGGTGCAGCTGAAGAGCAGCGAGCACAGGCGTCTATCTGTGGGTGGGTGGAGAGCTTTTCCCCAACGTTCAAGAGTAAAAACAGCCTAATGTTGAATGAATTGTTATCCTGGGAAAAGGCTCACATCAGACTAAATGGATGAAGACACCAGAGACCTCATTGGTTCAAAGGTTACAGATCCTGGTTTCATATCAGTCTGGTTAAAAAGATCAGGTTTCGTCTCATCCTTTGCTTTTTGTCTCAATCGCTGAAATATTTCATATAATAATATATTAGTTGTATTCTTATTAAAACTTTACTAACAGCTAAACCTGGACAGAAAATGCCAAAACAAACTTCACAAAATGAAACAATAACATCTTTAGTTCTCTAAATCTTCTGAATGAACACAGTGAACGCAGCCTTAGATATTTATGACATTCCAGAAGCCAGGAGACAGGAAAACCGTTTAGAAACAGATATTAGGAGCAAACACATCTTTAAAAAAAACAATGTATTATTCAGTAGACATGCAAATGATAATAGGCTAACACCCCCCCCCCAACAGTTCGGTTCACCATCTTGGTGCAAAGTTTTTGTAAATTTCTGTTTTTCAGATTTGAGTTTTCCAAAGGTTATTGTTATTTCTCTTCGCCTCTGGGGGCGGGGTTTCCTCTGCAGTGAAGAAAAAGGGATTTACTCATGTTTACTTTTTGCAGTGAGTCTTTAGTTTCTAGCTGGATGGTGGGAAAAGACCCTCAATGGATGCAGCTGGTAACAGACGGAGTTTGTTGTTGTTTGTTGAGGAAAACAACTTGTTTCAGTGTCTCCCCTATCAGCGTTTCTAGACCAAAACATCTCCAAACTTTTTTTTGTTTTAGTTCAGCACCATTTTGACTCTCTAAACTCTGCAATCTGTTTCTACTAAGGAGGCGGGCATAGTGGCAAAGAGAATCCATCGGATTGGACAGCCAGGGAAAGGCTTCTTCTGATTGGTCAAACTTTACACAGCTAAGATTTACAGAGCAATTCAAGCGGCTATGCGTGTTTGTTTGCCTTTTTTTTTAATCAGATTTTAATAGTTATTTCAATCTTAAAGAAAACTCAAGAGAAAATCTGAACACATTAAACCATCTTTTTATTTGTCTTTTTGAGCTGTAGGAAATATTTCAGGCACTCAGGATTGACAGACATGATGACAGCAGAGCTGATTTTTTTTTCAGCTGATCAATCAAAGACCACCCTCCCCCCATATATTCCTGCTCGGGGGGGAGGAATGTTGCTGTAGCGAGGAGCAGCTCTTCATCCTCGCACACCGGTGGCCATTGTTCTCTGTGGTGCTATCGGTGACTCATGCTGGCTGGTAGCGCCATGTTTCTACACGTGTGCCGCTCCGCTGCCTGCCCTCGGGTCACGTTTCCCTCTGTGTGCCTGTGCAGTAGAAATGTTAGCTGCTGGCCTAAACAAAGAATGGCCGGCCTCTACCTGCGCTCCTCGCTGCCTCTCCTCTCCTGTCGTCATTCTCCGTCCTGTTTTCCTTCCCTCACACCAGGTTGACCCGGGTTAGAGAGAGATGCCGCAGCGTTCGTCTCTGCACCGGGTCGCGCAGTCCCTGCAGAGCACAGCCCCCGTCCGTTGCCGTGGAAACAGTGGGGGCGGTAAATGAGGAGGGCTGTCTGGAGTGACAGCCTTGACAAGAGTCTGGACCCTGAAATGACCTTGGTGGGGGAGGGCTGGGAGGAGGAGGAGGGAAGGAGAGCGGCAGGGAAAGGTCATCGCCGTTACAGTCATGTGTGATTACAGTGGGGGGGGGTTCAAGGGCGCGTACACCGTGACCCCCCCGTCCTCTGCTAAAGGTCGGCCCTGGTAAAGATGCGTCTCCAAACCGCCCATCTGCCCGTCGGAGGGTTTATTTCCTCTTATTTGGCAGCGCAGCAAACGGAGCCTAATTAAATTTCTGCTGCTCGACCACTGAGTTGGGGATGTCATCATTACTGCCCATTGTGCTGTAACATGAGTTGCATCATTCCTTTAACTAGCCACCCCCCAACCCCCTTCTTCTTCTTCATCAAACATTTGTCGGTGGTGTTTCTCGTGTTTCTTCCCCCACATCTGTTTAAAACCAGGCTGCTGGTGTCTGGGGGCTAATTACGCTGGGCTAAATAGTCCCTGGTGCCAGCGGCTAACGTGTCCTAGCAGATGGGCGCTGGTGTCGCGGGCCAAGGCGAACATGGCGTCAAAGGAAGTGGGGGGGATCCAGGGCCTGAGGTGGTGCCCCAACAGACTGGCGTCGTGTGGGTAACAGCCGTGCCACCCACTCACCACCCAGCCGCCCTCGCTATAGGTGTGAAATCACACGTTGTGTTCACTTTACTCTTTCTGACTCCCAAATTCAAGTTGGACAAAGAAACTTTGAGAGACAGAGATGAGTTTGATCTTTTTAATAGTTTTAAAAGTTGGATCTGATGAAAGCTGAAACCATCCAGTCTCTTCAGCTTCTCATGGAGAAAAAAGAAAGTTTAACTTTGGGTCACAGTTTGCTGCAAGAGCAGCTAAAAGAAGGAAAAAATAAATCACAGAAAAATTATGCTGGGTAATCTGAAGGCTCCAAATGACCAAACATCAAAACAGGATTTAAAATTAAAATATGAACAAAAAAATAAAATGGGTCCTAGTGGTCAAACAGGAAGTCAAACGTTGTCAAATTAAAATGATAACATTAAAATATCATTTAACTAGGGTCTGAATAAAACTCCCTACAACAGAAAATTAATAAAAAGCTGAACACTGGCCTACGACATGCAGAGGCAGGGAAGCTCATGTCGCTGCATTCGGACAACTGGATGTCGAAAATCAGTTTAGTTTTAAACACTGCATCTCAGTGTGAAATGCAGGAACATAACATTGGCCTTTGGGCTTGCCATACTACTGACCAGTCCAGCCTCCAAACCTGAAGCCGCTCTGTGCTGAGCAGGTCTGGATCTCCTGTGTTCAGAGATCAGCTGTCAAGCCAACTGACCAGCTGTCCGTCACTGATACCTGACCATTCATTCAGAAGCTGTTATCCAGCATTATTGTTGAGGCTTCTCAAGTTTGACTTCCTCTTCAGAGTGACTTGAAGCTCCCAGCAGCGCGGTGGAGGCGTGAACAGAGCATTTAGAAACTGTCCGCAGAGCAAAGCAATGCTTTAAGCAGAATGGCCACAGCTGCCGGGGAAGGAGGTGGTCCTTTGGCAAGCCGTTTTAACATAAATTCGGTTATAACACCTTTACAATCAAGATAACTCAAATTGTTTTATGACTAGTGTAACCCAGGGTGAAAACTGCCCTTAGTCCCGCCTTACTGCCCCATTGGTTAGAGTGACAGTCAGTCACACAGTGCATGCAGCCAATTGACACACCTGAGGCAATTATTTAGGCTTGCTCCAGCTTTCCCCAGTCAGATGTGAGGGGGAGAGCTGGAGACAAAGGAGCTACAGATCCGAGAAATCCAGTGAGTTTGGAGCCTTGGAGCTGCCATACTCTCATCTATTATTGGAATTGGCCAAGTGATCCCTTTTTAGGGAAAAAGATGGCGAGCTTCTGAAAACTGGCTGGAGCCAGGAGAGCCTTAAGAATCACTCCACACTGGACTGGTCTGTATCATTTCCCCCTCCATCTCACCACTCAGGCATACACTTCGTTATTCACCTCTTCATCTGAAACAACTTGCGCTGGGACATTTTTCAACTTAAATATCTGGATAATCCAACCATGGATTTCTGAATGTGTGTCGGTCAGACTCTGGACTGATCAGCGGGGAATTTAAGACCAGTTGTGCACAAACAAAAGGATTGCCACAGTACTGTGTATATATATATTTTTTGTATTTATTTTGGGTTCTATGTATGTTGTCTTGTATTGTTTACTTTAAATTTGTCTAATACATGGTATTGAAAGCAGTTTTGTGTCGTTTTATTGATTACTGACAACGGCTCCAGTAGACGAATTCTAGTCTTCTGATTTTCTTCCATCTAGTCCTTTTACAGTTTAAATAGTGCTACACTAGACGTTTTAGCGATTTAAGATATCTCTAATTATATTCTTACTAGTCGAAATGACATCAGATTTACCATTAAATTGTATGGAGACGTCAATTTAAGATATCTAGAAGGAATTACCGACTATCTGGAATACACATTTCTGATATCAATGATCAAATTACGATTAGTCATAAAGTAATTTCAAGATATCTCGATTTTAGTTTTGACTTGTCATAATTGTAATTAAAGATATCTCAAATGCCACCATAATTCATGATTTCTTAAATGTATTTTAGGAAAGGAGATATGCAGTTTTAACTAGTGAAAACTCAATTATAGATATCTTAAAAGCAAATAATGGCTAGACAAAAATACATTTTAAGATATCTTGAATTGTAACTTCGACTATTAGAAATTTTTTTTAAGATATCTCTAAATGAATTAAAGATATTTTATTATTTAGCTTTTCCATTAAAGATATCTTAAATTAACATTCTGTTAGTCAAAATGTGTCATGATGTTTTTAATAGACTTCCAGGAGGATAATTCCTAAACAAATTCCTTACTGTCAGTTTAAAGAAAAGTTAAATCAGCATGTGACGCTTTAAATGACAAATCCGGT